CCCACACCCACACCCGCATTAAAAAAAAACTCGCGACGGACTACATAAATGCTGTGCTTCGCACCGCATTAAAAAAAACTCGCGCACGACTACATAAATGCTGTGCTTCGCACCGCATTAATGATGAATAAAGAAAAATGACAACGAGGAGAAAAGCTCCAACCCTGAGCAAAGGCTATGTTCACATTTGGAAAAATAAGCAGATATATATAAGAAGAGCGAGGAAAAAAAATGAAAGTACACACGCACACAAAGCAAAATGCGATAGAGAATAACGCTCACTTTGTATGAGACAAATGAAAAATGAGGAGATAAACATATAACAGTGTGATTAGCTCTTTGCTTTTTAATTTTTGGTTTCGTATTATTTATTTTTGTTAAATTTCTTTAATGATTGCCATTATTTAAATCGCCAGCAACACTGTTTCGTATTGTTGAATTACCACCATTAAGTGTCTCTGATACACTTGCGTTTGTTGCTTCAGATTGTAAATCATCATCAGATAATTCGGAATAATATTTTGTTGATGTTACAAGTGTTCGTACGTAAGATGTTGAAGAACTATGAGCTGTTGAAGGGCTAAAGTAGCATAAAAAAAGTATTTTATTAATAAGAAAAATAAAAGAAATAGTAAATATAAAATTAGAAAAGCATGTAGAAAAAACAAAACAAAAGCAAAGTCTGACATGTATATACATTGGGTACAATACAACAATTATCGAACCTTATTGAAAGTCATGGGAATTATGCCGAGAACTAATTTGGAATAAAAGAAAATGGTCAATTATAGTATTATTGTTATGCGATAGTGTTTGGCGCCTTTTTTTTGTAATATATGCATTTACGATATTTATCTTCTTACCTGATGGGTATGGTACTAGGTGTTTGACTATAATTAAAGGTTTAAATATTTATGTGCAAGAGAGAAAGAAAAAGGATAAGCATTGCGCAGAAAGCGAACCATAAACAAAAATGAAACGTAGATTGAATACCTCATTATTTTTATCGTCATTTAATTTGACGACTCGATTCGATGTAAGATCAATCATAGGTGGTTCTCTTCTGATTTAAATGTTAGTTAAGCAATAGAAAAACAAAACAAGTTAAAGCATTTGAAATTAAGATTTAAAAAAAACTGATCTTATTAGTTCAATAGTTAACAAACAAAAGAAAAATAAAAGAAATTTTATTCTTACCGTGCTCGTTGATATGTTGGATTATCTTCAATTTCATCTTTTTCTCGTAATGCTTTACGTAAACGATGTGTCATTTGTGTTACTTTTTCTTCTCTTCGTTTCATATTACGTACACGTACACTTGCTTTTTCAGCCTAAATATTTGTTTTTTTCGAATATGAAATTAAATTTTTTTGAAAAAAAAACAATAAGAAAAAGTTCTTAATTACTTGTTCTTTATAAGCATCTGATTGTTTTCGAGATTCATCAGCAATAGCAGTAGCGTCACGAAGACATTTTTCAAGTGTACGAACACTTCGACTAATTTTTTGTTTTTCTCTATAGCAAATATATATATAAATAAAATATTAAAAGATTTTTTTTTTAACATACCGAACTTCACCATCGAGTTGTTCTTCAAGTGCATGAACTTTAGCTTCAAGTGCTCCACGCATTGCTCTTAATTTTTCTTTACCAAATTCTTCATTTTCTTCAAGTTTTTCACGTAATTCTTGATTTTGTCGTTCAAGATTACTACGTAGAGCCTTGAATAACAAAAACAAGAGAATTTTATTTGAATATGTCAATTGATTTTAATTAACTTACGTCAGCTTTTTGATTATTAGCTTTTGCAGCAGCAAGATCAAGCATAAGTTGTTCAACAGTTATTGCTAATTTTTTATGTTTATCACCAATAATTTCTGTATTTTTTTGTTCTTCCTCTAATTCTTCTTCAAGTTGTGCTATACGTGCTTCAAGTCGACGTTTTTCATCAATAAATGCGCCTCTAAAAATGTAAATGATTTGTTTATTAGGTATGGAAAAACAAAAGAGAAGAGAATCAAAACATACTTTCCACTACCAATAGCAGCTAATTCTTGTTGAAGTTCATCACGTTCTGCTTGTGCTTGACGACGTTGTCGATCAACAAGATCTTTTTCATCCATTAATTGTTGAAGACTTTGTTCAAGAGTTTTGATTTTAGTTTGCCATTCTTTAGCATTCATCAATGATTCATTACGTATTACTTTTATTTCTTCCATTTCACGTGTTACTTCACGAATTTGAGTCTTAAAAAAACAAAATTTGTTTTTTGTATTTCATAATATATAGTAATTACTTGTAATCGACGTGTATTACGTAAAGATTCTTCTTTTTGTGTATTGGCTTCCTCAAGTTGCTGGCGTGAATCTTGTAAATCAATTTCAATTTTTTTACGTTGTTGAAGAATTTGTTGTTTAGATTTTCTTTCTTCATCAAGTTCTAATTCATATTCTTTTAATTGTTTATTTAATGAACGTATACGATCTTCAATTTGTTCATTATTTTCATGTGCATGTTTTTCCATTTGTTGTTTAAGTGCACTTATATTTACTTCACAACGTAAACGTGCATCTTCAGCTGCTTGTAGTTCATCTTCAAGTTCAATTATTTGTTGTTTTTGTTCTTCGACAGTTGCCTCTGAAAAATAAGCAAAAATTTAATTTATTATCGAATAGAATTAAAACAGTGATATTTCGAAACTGTACAAAATCTGTAGGCTTAATTATCTCGAATTTTAAAGTTTGAAGAAAGAGTAGTCATCGTTGGGTTTTTGATAGCAATGATTGAATCATTAGTAGAGAATTCTTACGAAGTAAAGTTTTTTAACAGAATATATTTTCTTTAGCATATCTTCCGAAACATAAAATAACTGCTTTTCATTATTTATATAATGACTTGCCAAGTGCACGTTTAATTCTTTCTAATTCATGTATATTTTTTCCAATATCATCTTTAGTTGATAACATATCATCAATTTCTGTGCGTAATTGTCTAAAACATTTATCTAAATCATCATATGCTAAATTACGTTCTTCTAAATCTCTTAATAAATTCAAACGTTGGGTTTCTTTTTCACGCATTTCACGTTCATTTTGATCACGTTCTTGTCTTAATTTATCTTGTAAAATTTTTTCATCTTGTATACGTTTATCAAATGAACGTTGTTGTTTTTCAACATTTTGTACAATTGTACGATAACGTTCTAATTCAACAGTTATATCAGCAATATCATTTGAAAATTTTTGATTTGATTTAGTTAATTTTGTATTTAATAATTTTTCATCATCGAATTGTTTTAATATAGTTTCTTTTTCACGTTGAAATTGTCGACGTAATTCTTTCATTTGTTCAACTTTAACTTGTTCAGCTTGTCGACGTAATTCTGTATTTTGTTGTGTTAATTGTTGTAATTTACTTTCGGTTTTATGACGTTCTTCTTCTTTATCATCTAATTGATCTTTTAATTCGTTAAGTAAATCTTCTGTTTGACAAAGTTTAGTTAATGTATTCATTTTTTGACGATTTTCTTCTTGTAAATTTTCTTGTAATTCTTGTATATCTTGTCTTAACATAGTTATTGTACGTTCATGATTTTGTGCACGTTGTTCAATTTCAATAAATGCTGCATTAATACATTGAATATCTTGTTGATAACGTTGTAATTTATCAAGATTTTCAGTTTTTAAACGTTCACTATCATTACATTTATGGGTATGGGTCGGTGAGAATGTGGGTGGGGATGGTGGGTGGGGATGGTGGGTGGAGGTAATCTTCATTCACCCACACCCACCTTGTACTGCTCTCTGCTGTCATAAAAATGCTAACTTTTCTTTCACAGCCACAAGTAATACAGTTTCAAGGGAATTTATGAACTTCACTCGTATGACAAAAAACTTACTTTTCTCCTCTATCATTCAAAAAAGAAGTTGATATTGTCAAATGAAATAGTGGAGATAATCAAAAAACTTATCACGAAAGGACTTTTGGGACACCCGGTATTTTGAAACATTGGCTACTACTACTGAAGAAACAGGGGCCTATATCATGAATGCTTTTGTAATGCGCATACTACTGAAGAGTTTAGACAGCATTTCTAACCTCGATCTCATGTGAAGAATCTAACAATCATATAGGCGTGAAGAAGACTTATAATAGTAGAAATTTTAAAACTAATTGTCTTCAAGAAAATCGTTTTTAAAGATTTGGATACTCTCTCACTATTTTGAATATTTTCCATGAGAAGTTAATCAAATTGGAAAAGCATTGAACGTTTGGGGTCAGAACGAAAATCTATCTAGAGTGATTTAAGTTTCTGCTAAAAATAGAAAGTGCTCAAATTACGAATATTGAACAAGATTCCAGTGTATTCTATTCCATTTTAGTCGATGAAAATAATCCGTGGAAAAAAGAATAATATCGTTACTCAAATTTTCTCATTATCAACATAGTAGTATTTCGGATCTATCTGATCTATTTTCTATGGGTATTTTTATAGATAATTATCAGGCAATATATTTTTTCTTGGAAGAAAAAAATACAGAATTAACTTACCCAGAGTACTTGTATTGAATGGTGCCGCAGTCAGTTTCAATTGATTGATATCCGATGCTAATGGTTGATCATTATTATCACCAAGTTCAATTAAATGTACGAGATATGATCCATTAGATTGCTTTAAAATATCACTCTTCACGCGGAACCGAGTTCCCATTCGTAAAATGATTTCATCTTCATTTTCATATTCTGTATAACCAGAAATCTTTTTCCCATTGAAAGTTTCAATAAGAAAAAGTGTTGCATTATTTTCGCCACCAAGAAAATTTTTTATCACGTTGACTGATGATGAGCACGAATTAAAACTCCACCATGTCAATGTTTGATTTTTAGTAAAATTCTTGCAAATATCAAGAGGAATACCTCTCCATACTCCTTCTTTCACAGTCGGCAACAGGTCTAATGCTGTATCAAAAAGTTTTAAATATGGAAACCATATCTTTAATGCTTGTCGATTTTCAGAACGTAAGGCTTTATTCAATACACGATATAAAGTAGTCTCGCCCCATTCCATCGTATAAATATATACAGCAGCTGATTGATCATGTGACAAGCCATGTTCAGATGGAAAATGACAGTATTGTTTAGCTATCTTTATAAAATGAGGTAGTCCATTAATGTGAGCTTTGATAGCCTGCAGTGCCTCTTCAAGTGAAACAAGTTTTTCGGCATGGTAACCGTAAACTGGGGGAAGTCTTTTAAATGAAGCATCAATATCACCAAAACGATTCATGATTTATGTATATTTGAATGCGTTTGGACGTTGATGAAGGTGCTATTGATAAGTACAGGAACGAGTTTGCAAGATTAAAATCTGATTCGTATTTGTCTAAGATACTATAAAACGAGTTTGAATAACAATACTTTCTATGTTGATACAATAATTTCAATGAATAACGGATTTCTTGTTTTTTGTCCTTGTCAGTTCACGCACTAACCAGAAACTGTGTAAAAGACATTGTGCAGAAAGATGGGTGTGGGTGTGAGTATGGGGGGGGGGGGGTGTAGGTGGATGTGGGCTTAGGTGTCGGTGTGGATGTGGTTATAAGTGTACAGAATATCACCCACAACCGCACGCACCCCATACCCAGCAGCATGTACACACCACACATCCACACCCTAGTTGCTTTGTATATTGTCAAAACTCTGATTAAAACTGGGCAATAAAATACTCATCAAAAGTGATTGTTGTCGAAATTCTGGTGGAAATTCGACCATAAAATACCCAGCGAAAATTGTTACCGCTAAAATTCTTTGGGAATTTCGACAGTTTTGTAAATGCGACAATAATGTCAGAATTCCGATGTAATTTCGAAAAATTTTGAAATTCCACGGAAAACTCGACAGTGTCGAAAATTCGATTTCGAAATTCTCGCCACCGGATTTCCAGTAATCCGCTAGAAACATGTCTGAGGATACTACTGGCTGTCACAGGCCTCTTTCAAGCATCACACACTTGCCTTTGCCATAAGTAGACTTTTTCTAGCAGGCTCATATGTGCCTCCAGAATCCTTAGGTATGCTTCTAACATCTCGAGAAATAGAAATAGATTCTCAAGGATTGCTAGTAGTATCTTCTAAGTTGGTTTGTCCGTAGCTATGCAGTTGAACAGCTGACGACTCCTAGCGAAACTGGTGAACAGCTGGAACTAGTGGGAGTTGAACAGTTCACCAGCTGAAGTTGTTACATATCGAACTCAATTCATGTGAACTAGAGCTGTCCACCAGTTCATCCACCCAGAATAGAAAAGGTGTCACGAATAATTAGAAGTATTCTTGAGAAAGCTAGAAGCATGCCTATAGTTGCTAGAAGCATGTGTATAGATGCTAGGTCAATGTCTTCGATTGAAAACAGCATGCTTAAGTTTGCTAGCAGTTTGCATCTAGCGTTCATTCACTAACTTTTAGAAACCTCAGGTATTGATCTAGCATCCGCAAGAATACTTCTGGTTGTTGGTTACACCTCTTCATTTCTTAGTAGACGCACTAGTGGACAGCTCTAGCCCAGGTTAGCTGGAGCTGTGTACGAGCTCTTCGACCAAACTTTCGGAATCTTCAGAACTGAAATTTCCATACCCACCCATATCGGCAAACTCGTGCGCGTAAGTGTCGTTGCGTGGAAGAGTCGTGCGCGTAAGTGTCGTTGCGCGCAAGAGTCGTACGCGCAAATGTCACACGCAGAAATGTCATGACATGGTGGGTATGGGTGTTGGTGTGGGTGTTAATTTGGGTATGTATGGTAGTATGGGTGTCGGTGGAAGGTGTGGGCAATAATTGCCCATAATGATACTCATTTGCAGCCCCACATCCGCTCTAGGGATGCACCGGTGACGATTCACCGTTCACCGGTCTCACCGGTCGATCGATTCACCGTCCACCGGTTCACCGGTCGGTACGGTGAACCGGTGGACCGGTGAAACCGGTGAACGGTGAACCGGTGGACCGGTGAGACCGGTGAACGGTGGACCGGTGGACCGGTGAGACCGGTGGACGGTGCACCGGGGTACGGTGGGCCGGTGGGACCGGTGCACCGGTCATTTTTCTGTATTTCGGTGTCTCTCCTATACGGTACATCTCAGTAACTCGAGTACTTAATTTTCTTAGAAGAAGTGATCCCTCGTCCTAATTAATTTTGGGGAATATTGATCAGAACTTTGGCGTTAAACAGAGAATCGAGCTGATAAGGTTGTAAAAGGCCATAATGGAGACTGGCATATTAGTACTACTGGAAGCATTCAGTGTTCTGTTGTCTGAGTAATAGCGGAAACCGGTTATCATCGCAAATTTTCGTAGTTCTATATGGACAGTATTGATATTGACTAGAAATACAACGGTGTAGGTCATTTCACTGGTGAAAACCGATAACTATACCCATGGTTGCTGCTACAGTTGCAATCATTGTACCTAGGTTTTTCGATGCCATTGCGCTAATCGTACTAATGGTTACTGGTACATCTAAGATCACTTTATATACGGTTACGGATCTAACTATCATCACGGATACTAGAGTTATCAATCTAACTACAACAGCCGTAGCTATGCTTATCAATCTAATTACTATCATCTAAGTTATGGTTACTCGCCAAACTGCGATTAATGTAAGTAAATCTATTGGTGCAGCTACGATAAATGCATCTACGGTTACCACTTCAATTATGATTGCCGCATTGATAGTTATCAACAAGATTATATAACCATGCGTATGGTCACCGGTATAACTACGATAAGCATACCTACGGATACCGATCCAAGTACAATAACTGTTTTTACCGTTAGTTGTCAAGCTAGGAGTATCATAGGTACGACTGATAGTCTAATTGCGATAACCGCACTTACAGCTACCGGTCTAACTACGATCCTCCTAGGCACAGTTATTAGGTCAAAATGAATGCCACGAAAAACAACACTTTTAAGAGAGTACGGCTTTTATAAAGGTTAGCAAAGTAAACAGGCGCTGGAGAGTCTGAACTCAAAGTGAGTCTTTGAATATTTCAAACTGAAGTTTTTAGATTAAGTGAGTGTTTATTATGAAAGTAACTATTTCCTTGATAGGTTGATGAAGGGAAATGCAACTTGACGCATTCGACTCTAATACTTAAAAAACTATAGCATTCATCAAGGAACCATTTTATTGATAATTAGAACGTAGAACCTTGATAAATTGATATCAGATTCAAGCTTCTGGAAATCCATTCACTTTCATTACTCTTTATTAAATATCAGCATCTTCTTAAAAAGCCTTTCCTTAGTATCCGAAGTCAAATTAACCATTTCTAAAATTTGAATTCAGATCCAGATTTTCTGATCATAGTCATCTTTCTTCAACTTTCATAGGAATTTGCTAGTGTGTTAGAAAATACTATATTTCACGAAAGCCCTCTAGAACTGATAATTGTACCTATGGTTATCATAATTGACTCTGAAATCGTAGGTACGGTTTTCTTAGTTGTAGCAATAACCGTACCAATGGTTCACATAGTGAACCCGTAACCATACCTAAGGTTATCGTCATCGTTGTCTCACTAACATTCATAGCGATAGTCGAAGCTATACTCCTTACTAGACGGTACTATAACACATAAAGCGTTTCCTTCATACTTGATGACTGTGATTCAATTAAGAAAAGGGTCAGCGGAACCATGAAAACTTATGCCAATCTCTGATGTAACAGCACCAATGATTGATGCAAGCATGTAGGTGCCTGAAAAATGATCAAAATCGACCATATCAGTGAGCTCCTAATATTCTTACCTGCCATGCTCGCCTTAAACTCTAGGATTGAAACCGTATTCTTGATTTGAGAGTGTAGTCGCATTCGAGACACTTATGCAGGAATATAATTATCAGGCTAACGAGGTAGTCGGTATAAAAATGAAGACCTACAGTGGTGGCTGCTAGACGAATATTGTCTGTTATGTTGAGCCTGAACTAGTCAATAAAATTCTTTGAATCTGCCATACTCATAGGTTTCCACTCTCTAATTTCCATTATTAGCATTCATGTTGACAGTCAAAACTGTAACGTCGATTGGAGGAATTATATGATTGCCAATCTTCCTTTTCGCCAACTGGCTGAAATTCGCTAATTGGCGAATATACTAACGAAAAATAGTCTAGTTGTAGCTGACTTGATGTGGATATGGGTGCGGGTGCAAGTCTGAGGGTTGTATATGCGCTTAACCTATGCTCATACCCACGATCCATACACATCCTATAATACTTAAATATTCTATCATCAATTTAGCTGGGCCATAATTCTACGGATTAAATTTGGCGAAATACACACTAGCGACTCGCGAATTGATCAATACATTATGACGAAAAAAGTTTATTGGCGAATTTCACACTGGGAATTCGCCAAATTGGCAAATTTCTCCATGACAGTCGCCCATTGGTAAACATACTAAGGCAAAAATAAATATTTTTTTGATAAATTTCATACTAGAGATTCACCTATTGGCGAATGTCGTAGGGAAATTCGCCACTAGTGAGTGCACTGTTGGCGAAATTCCGAATAGGTGAACTTACAGAGAGACAACTGAGTGTACGACAAGACCGATAATAAAAAATCTTTTCCAAGATGTGCATGACTACAAAGCTAATAATAGAATCGATAGGGTGACCAATGTCTACGGTGATGGTGAGTAAATGGACACTGCTGGTTACCCTGAGGCTTCATAAATCTGAAAATGCTAGAAACCATCTATCACCGTGGGTCTCCGCTCTAGTAACGGGCATTCTAGGACTACATGGTAACCCTTAAAAGTATATGATTTACAGCGATGCATTATCGTATATGAAAGCTTTTTTCCTACATCAGTATGATAGCGATGCCAGTTTTATGACCGATATTGTCACAGGAACCTACGGTGATGATGGTTGCAAGGGCATTACTGATTACTCTGAGCATCAATAAGCTTGTCAAATGCTTCAAAGCGGTCATCGCTCTAGGTTCCTGCTCTCTGACCAGCATTTCAAAATTTCATCATGATGTACAAAACTATATATTTGAGTACGCGGCGATACATCATGTGAAAACTTTTTCCAGAGACTGTCTACGACGTTAGTTAGACGACTGACAGATTCACGAAATCATACGATGGTGATAACTAGTTTACCATTACTGGTTCCTCTGGTCTTCAGTGAGTCTGTGAAATATTAGAAGCTATCTGCTACTGAAGGTCTCCGCTCTCCGAACCAACATGATTAGGATTAATGGTAGTGCGTAAAAACAC